GTAAATTAAGATGTATTTACATAATTCATCGCGTCATGTGTATTTCATTAGTGTTTCTGTTTTAGCTGTTTTAGAGAAAATAATAGATACTCTTATCACTATTAAAGAACAAAATAATCAAATATTAGCTCAATTAAGAAAAGTTCCTCAAGCAAAAGGAGCTGTCTCATTCTCCCTGCCAGAGAATATACCTGTTCATCTACCATTAAAAACAAACGAAAATTTATGCCTCTTGGAAGGATTCATTGTAGACGAAACTAATTCATATAATTTGGTAAATATTTTAACTATATTTTTTGCCCAAGAAAATAAAAAAGCAAGAAAGGAAGAAAGATTATGTTTCATATTTGAAGGAGGAATACTTCATATATGTATTTGTACATAATTTTTGTTTATATTATTTATCTGTACAGCATGTCCCAGAAAGCTCGTATACCGAATGCACAGTGAAATTCTTGAGACCAAAAAAGCAACTTTTTCCTTAACCAAAATTTTTTCGAACAATAGTTTTGAGAGCTATTTAAATTTGTCGAATCAGAGTGTTGCTTGGTATTCGCCTCAGGAGAGGTGCGCGATGTACAAAGTAACAAATAAATTATGTAGACAGTTTTTGTCATACTGCAGACGCGTACCGCATGCCGCTCCTGATCTGCTCGCAATGTAACACTCTGATTCGGGAGCGGTGCACTTGGACACGGTGCATTTGGACACAGCCAATCACAGCACCGTGTGATTAGAGACATTTGTAGGGTCCCTTGGAACAGCGACTTGTGATTGGACTGTGTCCAATTGCCCCGTGTCCAACTGATATACACCCCTCTGATTCGATAACTTTAAATAGCCCTCATGTAAAAACTATTGTTTTAGTTAAGGAAAAAGATGTTTCTTTTAGGTCGGTATTCACAGTCGAATCTTATATTTAAGATCGTCTTAAGTTCATCTTCAGATAATGTACGAATTATTTCATTAACTATGGAGTACCCAAAGATAAATTGAAGACGATCTTAGATATAAGACTCGACTATGAATATCAGCCTTAGGCTACACAACCTAAATAACAAAAGTTATTTTGGTTTTAAAGGAAACTTAAATATATGTCTGTCTTTATTTATTTACAAAGAAAGATAAAGATAGATATATGTTTAAGTTTCGCTTGAAGCCAAAATAATATTGGTGCAACCAGACCTTAGTCTCGAGAATTTCAGTGTGTATTCCGTATGAAAGCTTTCTGGGACATCCTGTATTATTTCGGCGAAGCCGAAGGGGAGAAGGGGGCCTTTCCCCAGAGCGTTAAATAAATGTTTCTATCATACCTAAGGGCATGTATCTTTTCTCATTCTCCATGTGGGTGAC